ACTCGACAAGATTATTGATAAAACGTTTATCTAAAGGCTCTCAGAAACTTCGTTGCACGTGACTAGAAACCGTCAGGCATGTGGACAAAAACCGATGGCCTTTAAATAACCCAAAAGTGGTGACATATGGTTAAGGCCTTTTTTTAAACCAATATCCTTCCTTCTACATTTTACTTTTTACATATATATCAACTCTCCTCTCTATCTACTTTTTTCTACGCCCGTGGTCAAATGGGGGACTTAGCCCCAGCATATTTTTGCTAGTAACCAGATGACCAAAGTGGCTGGCAACAACTTGTTTTGCTAAGGAAGTCGAAGGGTCGTGATTCAATAAGCGAAGTACTTAATTATGTGCTGTGTGAGCGCTTGATATAGTTCTTGGAATGGTACATGTAACTTCTTAGCAGTAGAGGCTGAGCGAGTAATGTTGCAATTACCAGGACATTGTTGACAAGTCTACCTGAGTAATGGAAGTGATGCAACTTTTTTTAAGTTTTGGGCTTTGAGTACGTACTTTATCTCCAGGCGCGTATGCTTCTGGGGCAAATGACATTGTGATGTTCCTTCAAGTATGAGATTGCAGATAGATCTTTCTAACATCGTCTTTGTTCGTGTTATCCTTCTAACGTATATCATGATTTCATTATCCCTGATAAGTGTGTTCTCTTTCTCCTTGCAGGATGGCAATGCAAGGTTCAGTCATGGTTATTGGAGTATCTGGACTATTAAGTGCTTTTTCCCCAGTTTACATGTCCCTGATTATGTATCGTTGTTTTCTTGGATTTGGTGTGGGCGGTGTACATGTATTTCCAGCATGGTTCCTGGAGTTCATTTCGACTTCTAATAGAGGTGCTTGGTTGCTAGTTATTTCAACTTTCTGGACACTTGGATCAATATTGGGGGCTTCACTTTCATGGGTATGTCTAATGTATTTCAAGCATACAATGTCATTTCCCTCAATAAATGCATGAAGCCGTCATTGTTCTTGCAGATTGTCATTCCAAGCTTGGGTTGGAGGTGGCTACTTGGTTTGTCTTCTATTCCAGCTTTCTTGGTTCTTCTCTTATCCTGTTTTGCACCAGAGTCTCCAAGATACCTATATACAAAAGGCAGAATTACTGATGCACTGGGAGTTTTGGAAAAAATAGCTCTAATCAACCGAAAGGAACTTCCCACTGGAATT